GACACACACACGCACACAGAAAATAACTATAGTTTGTTACAAGTGAAGAATTCACATGATTTGAAGTTTGGAAGGCTTGAAAGGCAAGAATGCTGAGTTGGTTGGTCTGCTAATTTTGAATCAATTTGTACTTCGCAGTTACTCTTCCTCCTACATCTTGGTAAACGTATTTCTTTACTAATTTAAATTATTATTTTTTGGGTCAAGTTTTACAACAAAATCTTAAACAATTTGATCACTGAATATAAACTTCAAAGTCTATTTCATGAAAATCTATTAAATATCTATAATAGGCCCATTACAAACCCATTCTCGGCCCATTAACTATGTTTGCTGAAAGAAAATCAACAATGCAAATTTTTACTTAGCAATAAAATATACATCGTCATTTTCTTACGGACAAAAAAAAAAACCAGAACACTTACCTATACACAAACGCAGTATGAAGTCACGAAATTAAGCAGAGTGTATAAAAACTGTGTTTTCCTTGATCTGTTTTGGTGTTTTTATCACATGTTGTTACTCTCTCTCTCTTCTCTTATATTCTGATTCTACTTTGGTTTTGGGCTTAAACCCATTTAGAGCCGTGTTGAAGGATCAAAGCCGTTAGATTTACCGTTACTCTTCTTCTCGGTTACATCACCGCTCTGGAACACTTGATCATTGTGATCCTCCATGAATCTGGCCCAGAACCAGTGCTTCTTCCACACTCTCTCTGTCATCTCTTCGATAGGCACGTTCTTGGTCTCAGGAAGGAGGAACATAACAAACACAGACATAATGACGACCCACGATGAAAAGAAGATGAATATCCCAAACTTGAAATGACACAGCATCGAGAGGAAAGCCTGAGCGATTATGAAAGTGAAGAGGAGGTTCACGCAGACAGTTACACTCTGTCCCGCAGAACGTGTCTCTAGAGGGAAAGTCTCACTAGGGATCAGCCACCCGAGCGGTCCCCATGACCAGGCAAAAGCAGCCACATACGTGCAGATCATCACCACGACTAGAATCGCAATACCTTTAGAGAGATTTTCAGAATGGTCTTTAACTTTGATGCCGAGGATAATGGCGATTACGATCTGAGAGAAGAACATTTGGACACCGGCTTCAAGGAGAAGAACTCGGCGACCAACTTTGTCAACAGAGTAGATGGAAACTACGGTGGAGAGGACATTGACCGCACCAGTGATCACTGCAGAGTAGAGAGCAGCATCATTCCCAAAGCCTACAGTGCTGAAAAGAACAGGAGCGTAGAACATAATGGCGTTGATTCCAGTGCATTGCTGGAAAATCTGCGGTTTTTCCGTGTAATCATCACACAAAAAGGATTAGCATTACAAAATCATGGAAATTAACAGCAAAATCTACTCAAAAATTTAGGGTTTTCTAGATCCTAAATTGAGGGCTTATCGAATTCCATTCAAATCAAACCCCGTGAGCTCAGATTCGAAGCAAAATTACTTTCAATTAAACTCTACAGATCGGAGATCACTGTTTTTCCGATCATCGGAAGAGGAAGATACTGAAACTAACCTGCAAAGCGACAGCGATAACGAGCTGAGGTCGATTTCTACGTTGTAGAAGGTTTCTGAAAGGGTGTTTGACTTCTTTAGCAAGACGGCTAGCTTCGAGAAGATCGGCGAACTCTGGTTCGACATTATTGGTACCTCTAATACGACGGAGAACGGCTTTACCTTCATCGAGACGACCTCTTTCGACGAGACTGTTCGGCGTCTCCGTCACGAAAAAAGCTCCGACCGTCAGTAAAAGCGCCGGGATTCCGGCCAAACCTAGCGACAATCTCCATCCCCATCCTCCTTCGATCCTGCAAATCCCACCAATCAAATATTAATGGGCCGATATTTAAAAAAAAAAAGCTTTATGGGCCTAAACTGAAAGCCCAATAACTCGAATCAGTGACAGATCATCATTGAAAGTCAACGCGGAGAAAAAAATAAAGTTTAGGGCATGACGTTTATTAAACAGAAAATGGTAAAATACAATTCGACTACGTTCCGTGTACTATATAAGACGTAGGCATGTGGATAGAATTTGCCGAAATCACGGAAGACTTTTATTAATCTATTCCTAAAGTTAAAAATGCTTTATTGATGGTAATAGAAGAAATCTGATCTTTATAATGTGAAACATGATATTTCAATAAATATGGATAGCCAAAAGTTTGACAAAAAGGATCAGAAGATATAGGAATAGTGTCGAAAGTAGAGACTCATGTGTACGTATTTATTTAGACTATACGAGACACACAAAGAAAATGGGGTGCGAACCCTCTTTTTTTTTTAGCACAAAGGTTGTGTTGAAAGAGACATTTATGTTTTTTTATATATCAAACAAAGGAAAAAGAGAGAAAGAGACGTTCATGAGGATACTTTCAATAGTTTCATGTCAAAATAAAATTTCTACCATATATTTAATTGGATTTTTATTGGGTTTCTTTTTCGTTGAAAAAATCTCTAACCCTAATTAAGTTTATTTTCCACACATTTCAATTCCATTTTATCATATAATATTTAAAAGAAACAAGATATGAGGAAAGGGATATTTACTTGGCGGTCCCATAGTTGACAAGATTGGCGAAGAGGATACCAATAGTGACGTTAAGCTGAAACAGAATATTAAGACCACCACGGATCCTAGTGGGTGCAATCTCCGACAAGAACAACGGTACGGCTTGATTAGCGAACCCTACGCCACAACCAAGCAATATCCGGCCTGCAATAAGCATGGCTAGGTTGTGAGCCGCCGTGTTGAGAACCACACCGATGATGAAGAAAAAGCCGGCTATGAGCATCGTTGGCCTCCGACCTAGCGTCCTCGTGGTGTATGAAGCGAAGAACGTCGCGGTTAGACCGGCTAAGTATAGAGACGATGTGAAAAGTTGTAGTCCTTGGTTGTCGTATTTGCAGTAGTTGCTGTTTAGGTCGACTCCGGCTTCTACTCGCCGGTGAACCACCGGGAAAAACTTTTTTAGGAAGTCCGGCATCGATGTGACTCCGCCTACGTAGGCCATTCATTGAAAAGTTAAATTATCATTTATTTTTCTTTGCTACTTTTTTACCGTTTACTCACATTTAGAAACTTATTGTTTGAAACTCATGATATTAATCTTACAGAAGGAAATTTATAAATAAAGAGTCACTTAATTCAAAACTAAAACGTGTATGACATTAAAAGTGTCACCCATACTATCAAAAACATGGACGGCCTAGATCCCTATATTGTCAAACTTTTGTGAGCTCTAATTTTAGAATATTTTCTTACTTACTTCCACATATATAAAATTCAATTTTTATAAACGTATTTCCTGTTAGTCCTCTATGTATTTTAGGTGAAATGGTTCCCAACGAAGTTGTGTTGTGGTAGGTGAGGACGTTAAAATCAAGATTTCTTCTACCTTTTTGTACTATATAATATAAAAAGGATTGTATTATTACATGTATTGAAGAGAACTATAATTAAGAGATGTTACATTCATACCGGAGACACCAACGTCGTAGCCGAACATGAGGCCGCCGGTAGCAGCCATGATGCAAGAGATGATAACTATTGGAGTTATCTTTGCCTCAAACTCCACTCCGTTCGCCGGAGCCGTCGCAAATCCTCCTCCGGCCATCCTTAAGATCTCTTCAGCAACTAAAATCTAAAAGTTCTTAGCTCTTACACGAGTTAAAAAGAAACACTTAAAGAGACCATTGGGGGTGTTTACTTCTTTATATAGAAGAAGAAGCAGTGAAGCACAAAGAGAAATTGCTTGCGGTCAATGACATAATTACACGTCTCTTTTTGTGTTCACATGCTCCTGAGTCATTGGTCAACAAACGTTTCTTCTGCTTTATGTGGCGTCTCCTTAGTCCTTATAGTTGAATATACAATATGCCCATCACCAATAAGTCCATAAGTCTTCTCTTTCCTTGCTATTTATATTATCCTCGAATTTTATATATATATTGTGATATTAAAGTGTATGATTCTCCTCGCTGATTAGAGATGTTATGACAATATTTATATCGCTCTCAATGTGTTGTGAAAATCTTGGTATCGAATCAAAATATCTCATACCTGTTAGAATATGAACGATTCGGGACCTTCAGCTATCATGTGTAGGTCATACAAATTTGCTGTCATTTAACTTGTGAATATCTTCTTACTAATTGTCTCTTTTGTATTGTTTAAATTTTGGATGTTATATGGTGTTAAAGTCTACGGACCAGATCGTTTCAGTTTTACCCCTGGTCCAGTTTC